TTATGCGTAGCCAGTTTTAATGCAGATAGAATTTGAAACCCATGGTAATACCTGTCCTTCCAGAGAGGGGGAGGTTGGACCAGCACAGGGGCTGTCCTCTCTCTGCGGTGCCTCTCGCTCAGGGCTCTCTCATTTTCCAAATATTTGGGGGAAAAAAACAACCCTCAAAAAATGGACTTGCGGTCCAGTGAGAGGTGGGATGGGTCGTGGTCCTGCAAAGAGTGACACTGCAAATTGCAGAGAGACGAGCTTCAAAAGCGTGCTGTTGGTTCAAAAAAAGCCTTATTTTTAGTTAATTAAAATATTTCTAAGTAGATTCCATGTCCGTATTTCTGTCCCCCTTTGGCTGAATCCATGCGAGCTCAGGTAAGGTGCCCCGAAGGCCGGCAGCCGGGCAAGCTGCTCTGTGGCACCAGGGGGGTTCCTGAAGGTCTTTGCCTAAAGGTGCCAGAGGGTTATTTGTAAGTAGATTCCATGTCCGTATTTCTGTCCCCCTTTGGCTGAATCCATGCGAGCTCAGGTAAGGTGCCCCGAAGGCCGGCAGCCGGGCAAGCTGCTCTGTGGCACCAGGGGGGTTCCTGAAGGTCTTTGCCTAAAGGTGCCAGAGGGTTATTTGGGTCTGACCAATATTTTCTAATAGCACTGATCCAGCCGTGAAATCCTGCAACTATTAACACAAACCAAAAAAACCCCACCCTTGCTTCTAGTCATTTCCTTCTGTAAATGAAAGCACTTTGTGCTTTTGGCTATGGGTGTGCTCAAAGTGGCAAAACCTCATGGAATAAAAAAAAAAATTAAAAAAAAAATATCTATTTTTATACCTGTGTACCTACAGTCTTTAAAAAAGACCCTAAAAATTTTAAATAAATTTTAAATACATTTTTAAATTTAAATTTTTAAAATTTTAAAAAATTTAAAATAACTCCGATAACCATCTCAAGTAACGTGTACTTGCATCTATACTAGAAGGTATGTAACGTTTCATACTGCTGGGGCGGGGGGGGGTGGCGTGCTCACGGCCGGGTGCTGGTCCCCGGTGCCACCGCGGTGCCCTTCTCTGCGTTGCAGCACCTACGGGGAGCTGACGAACTGCACGGCGCTGATCGCCGAGAGGCTCGAC